TATATAGCGGAGTATTACTCAGCAGTGAAAAAAGAATGAAATACTTATATGCTATGACATGATGCATCCTAAAATCAGTATGCCAAATGAAAAGAAGCCAGACACAAAAGGCCACGTACTGTAGGATTTCATTTATAACAAATGTTATAAATAGGCAAATCTGTAGAGATAAAAAGTAGATTGATGGTTGCTAGGGGCTATGGGGAGAAGGAGAAATTGAGGGTGGCTGTTAACAGATGCAGGGCTTCCTTTTAGGGGAAGGAAGATGCTCTGGAACTGGATAGTGGTAATGGTTGCACAATCTTGCACATATACTAAAAAAATCACTTAACTGTACACTTTGAAATGATAAATTTTGTTATCTGAAATTTTATGTTATACATGACTTATACTTCAATTTTTAAAAAATCCTAATGGCCTTGCTTTTGTCTTTTTTTTTTTTTTTTTTTTTTTTTGTATTTACACCTGACTTAGCAAAAATTTAGGGCCATGGCTTTAAAGTTACAAAGCACAATTGATTCTCAAAGTATTTGCTATCTTCCTGAATTATCCTCTACCTGGCTTTCTGCTCACTCGAAATCCCCTCAGACACAGATAGTCAAATCAAAACCTTGATGAAAAATATGTTAACTTTGGGTAATGTTTAGAAGACTTCTGTTTTGATTTTTAACATAATGATTATCTGAGTGAGGCTTGTATTATGAGACAATGAAGTTCAATATAAAGGGTTTTCACCACAATTCCAGTCTTCCAAGACATCTACCATGAAATACTTTCCTGAGTGGATCAGAGAACTTGCCACTCTGTTGTGGTAACAATTACCTTTATCAATTAGCGGCAAATAAATAGACGTAAAGCCTCACTATGATGTTTCTTTGAAAAAAAGAAAAAAGAAAGAACCAAACATTACTCAATTAACATTATGTGCTTTTGTCTCGTATTTACAGAAAAGCTGCCAGGTTGTAGTAAGAACAAGACTCTGTTCAAGAGTCACATATATATTTAGTAGCAAAGAGTGCACAATAATCAGTGGTCAGAGGCTGATACAGATGCAATTTTTTTTTGGAAAAGCATTTTCTCTAACACTTGATTTTTTGATGGGTAAAGCAGGCAGAACAAAAGGTTTGCTTCTCACTCTGACTTCAAGGCAAAGGAAGCCCAATCCATTCCTGAAGCTAAACTATGAATAATTATTCCACAATAAACAACACCCTCAAAATTTTCAGCCATCTAGGAAAGACGCTGAGGCTTTGCAGAAGATAAAAAAGGCACTGACTTTTAATATATTTTATTTAGAAAGACAACTCGGGTGTGGACATTAAACTGTACCTTTTCTTTGGAGCACTTTTCAAATGATAATTTCTTCCACTGTCACCATTAAATCTTAATCCATTCCAGCTCCTTGCATGGGTCATTGAGTCTATATGTACTGCTGTTATTTTAAAATGTTTCCCCTTGGTAGGGAAAGAGGGGGAGAAAAGATGCTGAGAGCCAGATGGGCCTCTTCACAGTTCATTTATCAAACCTAATACGCTGGGCCCCACCCTCCTCTCACTCACGATTGCGGTTAAACTTCCATATAATTTGGTAATCATTTTCATTATCAGAGAGTGACCCTAAAGTAGCCTATCCTGGGACACCCGGTCCTTGCAGCTGCTCTTTTTCTGCCTTTTCCTACAGTAGACCCTAAGAATCTCAGAGTTTATTAGCTACAGACTGACCTTTGGGCTGCATAGGTCAAGAAGGGGTCGGATCAGAGGGCTTGCCCAGTTCTTTAAAAGCTATAACAAGCTGTCCATCAGGCAGAGGGGACTGGATAAACAAAGGCGAATCTTCAGAAATTCTGTCCCACTTCTGTTAACACTTACCCTGCATTCACACAGCTTCTCCCAACGTCCTTTGGATCATTCAACTCTGGGGAAGTGAATAGACAGCCCTAATAAGCCTATTTGGAGAGGGTTGTTTATGGGATTACCAAGCTTGGAGAAGGAAACCCGAAGCACTCAGATGTGCCTCTAGAGTCGCCGGGTTGTGTGACACTGTGACAAACTCGGTTACCCCAAGTCATCCAAAACTGACACTTTCCTCAAAAAGCTAAATTACAAGGAACATATGCTTCAGTTTAAGAGACTTCAGTGAGTCCCAAACAATGGCTTGGCGCCCGACCTGAGAGACAGACAAATATTTTATAACCAGGTTACAAGTTTTACTTTAAAAATTCTCCTTAATATGATCGCAAATGAACCTGCTAAAGAGGGGTAAAAACCTTTATTACAAAAGACATACTAAAGTTATTGCCAGCTGCGGCGGCTCTGTTGACCTAAATTTCTTGAAGTTGTACAATTCATAATGCATTCTCTAACGTGCAATATAAGGTAATTAGAGTCATCTGTATTTAACTTTCAGAGGAAAAAAAAATTCTATTATCTAATCTAACTGATCCCCTGATAGCTTTGATGAAAGTAAAATACTGTAACCTATTGCTTGGCCTTTGGTGAGTGCTAATTATTTTCTGTCAAAGCACATTTTTCCTTGTGTAATTCCGAAGTACACAATAGGCCAATCTCTAAAACTAGGCTGCTCAGTAAGCACCACAGTGGATGTTTTATAACTTTCACCACCACCCGCCTGACAGGTACTCGAGGCAATGCCCAATTCCAGACAGCCAGATGACACTTTGATGAGGAAAAGAAAGGTGTATGGTAACCGTCTGTTTATACGGATCACATGGATGAGTCTGTAGGTAGGTCACTAGGATGGGAAACATCAAATGGGGATGAAGAAGGGGTGGGGAGAAGGATTATGATGGTTATTTAATACTCTGAGGACACTTTTCCTTCTGAGATCTCAAGACATCAGCCTCTTGAAATTTTCTTTCAGGTGTTTAGTTTTAAGGGGGCCTGCACAGTGTCAGCTGCTAAGCTCTTTCTTTCCTCCTCCCTTAACACAAAGGACTTGAGAATTTTTGTTTCAGTTGCTAGACTACATCAACTTCAACACTGGCTCCAGCTTCTGATTAAATTGTTAGCAGTAAGGGCCAGAAATGCTGAAAGCAGATTCCTTTCAAACAGGCCACTTTGACCATGTTGTCTAATGATTTGGTGTATTAAGAAATTATTGTTAACAAACCAAATGCACTCAACAAAAGATACCCATTGGCGCTCTCACTGGGCCACATCGTCTTTGGACAGAAGGGAAATGGAGGAGAGATTACAAAGGAATTCTTTCTTCCTTTCTATTTAATTAGAATCATCATGGGGAAGACATGAAACATTAAACAGACACAAAGAAACCCCTTAGATGTCCCCAAACTGAGATCCTATTCCTTAATATTTGTACTTTCATGAATATACATGCTTAACTCGTAATATAAAGAAAATTTTAAAATTAGTTATTGAAAGGTAAATTGGAAATCATTTAGTCATTACTTTAGTTGAAATCGTCTGCCACTGGCCAGGCATGGTGGCTCACACCTGTGATCTCAGCACTTTGGGAGGCCAAGGCAAGAGGATCATTTCAGGCAAGGAGTTTAAGACCAGCCTGATAACATGGCAAGACCCTGTCTCTATTTTTGTACACTTTTTTTTAAAAGAAACTGTCTGCCATTTACTTCGACCATACCACCAAAACGATGGGGGAAGGGGAAGGGAAATACCGTTGGGAATTTTTAGATTACTATTTAAATACAAGTCTGAGTTTAAAGATAACACACATTTGAAAAAGCAGCTTTCTGATACCCAGTGAGAATCAATACTTCATACTGTCTCCTTTCTTGGAAAATGCTCATCTTCAGCCTTGTTCAGACAAATCTATTTTTATAATTATTACTAGTAAAGCTATCAATTATCGTAAATTCTTTTTAAATGAAGTCATTTGGGGAATATTATACCTATTAATAAATGTTCTGGACTCCCAGGCACATAGAATTTTCAGTCACCAAATAAGACGCTGAGACAAAATATGCCCTACCCTTCCTGATTGCTCTCCCTCTTGCTTAGAGACAGATGACAATTCAATAATTTTTACAAACTACAGATCTAAAAGATGACCCTAACATGTGAGAGTACTAGTTCTTGCCTCCCACAATATCAACCATTTTTCAAAAAAGATGATTTAAAGACACTTTTCACCAGTAACACAGTTTCTAAGCACAGGTAACCCCATGGAAAGAGACCAGGTTGAAACAAGAGTCATTCCCAGTTGGTCAACCCTAAAAATGGGCTTGATAAATAGACTACGGTCATTGCCACAGAATAATTTTTTCGACGTTTTGGTCAACAGCGATCCTTATCTATGTCAGTGGTCCCATCCCATAAGATTATAAAACCATGTTTTTACAGTACCGTTTCTATACCGAGCTGTGTATAAATACACTAATACTTACCGTTGTGTTACGACTGCCTATGACATTCAGTATAGTAACATGCTGTACGGGTCTGCGGCCCAGGAGCAACAGGCTACGCCATATAGCCTAGGTGTATAGCAGGCTCTGTCATCAAGGTTTGCGTAAGTGTAGTCTATGAAGTTCACACAATGGGAATCACCTAGGACACATTTCTCAGAACCTATGCCCATCATTAAGGGATGCACGACTATGCTTTCAAGTAATCTGCTCTGCACAGTGATATAACAGCACTGTACAGATTTCCCTGACATCTGTCCTAATGAAATAGTAATGCTAGTCTTTTAGACTGTTGATTAAAAAGAGTTCTTCAGCATCAGGTACTCATATTACATTATGCTTAAAATGCAAACATGCATGCTAAATTGGAATTTATTCCTGACAAATTGTGTAAACATACTGATGACGCCAATGGATCATTACAATTAACGTAGGTACATGGGCAGGAAAGCTAACTTTAGCTGGAAGCAGCTTAAATATGCTTATTTTTCATGGTCCCCTCAAAGGAAAGGGACGAGGCCAGCCATCAGGAGGGGCTTGGCCAAATATAGTTCTTGTTTGTCAAGAACAACAAATCCCATTTCATAACAGAACTAACCTGGCATGCCATTCCCTCCTCAGGTTCTGGCGCGCAGTGAGCGAGGCAAGGATGGCGGTCAAGATTTCATTCCTTTGTTCCACGGGGAGCCCCTCTCTTTTAACTTCATGAAGCACAGCATTTGTCTACAAGAAATGATCCAAAAAAGAGAAAGAAAAAGTGAAAAATTAATAATAAAAAAAAAGCCCATAAGCAAATAAGGACAGTAAATCAATGGCTTTTTTATTACAGTTCCCCTGCTAACAAATCAATATGGTAAATGATGGCCAAAAATGGCCAGCATATATTTGTGTTTAATCAATGTACATGGCACATAAGGTAAACGCTAAGGCTCCATTGCCTTAAGTAACACATCAAGATACTGCGCATTCTTACTCTAATTTTCTCAGCACACCAACGATTGTTTTTTTCCTGGGAATTGCCTACCATGAGCTATTATTAGAAATGATTTTCACGTACACTTCACTGTGAGTTGTTTGTTTTGCCTTTTTAAAAAAGAGCACTGTCTGACTTTCACTGTTTCCTGCCACCCAGCTGAGGCTTTCTCTGCCTCTCTCATATGAATCATTACTTTAAATTTCTACCCATGCCAGCAATGTTTTACAGGGGAAGATGGGGAAAGATTCACTCGTTTTCCTTGCTTGTTGCAAATCAAGATCTTGCGAAGAAAATAACAGGAACACAAAAATCAGAAAGACCATTTCTTGGAATAAGGATTTCAAAGAACATCTTTAGATTTTACAGATTTTTTAAAATTTAAAGTTCGTGTGGCTTCTCTGGAGATTTCATAACCAAAGCAATTGCTAAAAGGAATAAAATTGTCATTTCAATTTCAATGAAATTGTCTGTGTTCTAAGTCATTCAATATATTTCTTATCTAACAGATGCCAATAGATTTGTTTACTTAAAAAGCACACCCATAACTTGGTTCTCATGAAAATTGAAACACTATTCCCTTACTCCTTTATAGCATTTGACAGTGCATATTTATCGTCTTCATGACAACCTTGAGAAGAGGACTAATGAACCCTTGTTGTTTCTATTGCATCATTCCATACCTCATCCCCTTTGTCTGGCGACATCACCTAAATCTCCTCTTGCAAAGTCTTTTCTTTCACGGTATAAAGTCTTAGAGGGACTGTCAACCAAGGTGTCCTATCCTCCCCTATCAAGGATGTCGGCCAGAGCAACTTGATTCTTTTTGAGGACTTTAGACTCTAGAGAGGAATGACAGAGAAATGAGGAAAAATGCAGAGGCAATTTATCAGTTCCCTTAATTCCTTCCACCCATGGTCCTCAGAGTATCTCTAGTTTCTGGAACTTTCCAAGTGCAGATCATTCGCTTTTCCTTTGATAGTGTCAGTCTCCCAATATCCTTTCAATAAAGTCTCATTTTGTTTAAATTCATCAGGGCTGGGCACGGTGGCTCATGCCCGTAATCCCAGCACTTTGGGAGGCAGAGGCAGGCAGATTGCATGAGGTCACGAGTTTGAAACCAGCCTGCGCAACATGGGGAAACCCCATCTCTACTAAAAACACAAAAATCTGCCAGGCATGGTGGCACGCACATGTAGTAACAGCCACTTAGGAGGCTGAGGCAGGAGAATTGCTTAAAACCTGAGAGATGGAATTTGCAGTGAGCTGAGATCACACCACTGTACTCCAGCCTGGGCAACAGAGTGAGACTCCATCTCAAAAAACAATAACAAAAAATTCATCAGAACCTGTTTCGGCTGCTTATCATTGTTAACTGATGTAAACCTATAAGGCAGAAAATAGTACCAGTGTGAAAGAGCCTGGATAATCCACCTGATACTAGCCAGGAAGAGGACCCTGCCTCCTGGGGTCAGTACTCCATCTACTATACTAGGAGATACACCTGGTTCTCAAGCAGCTTCTGTGGGAACAACATGTCCAGCTTTCCAGTACAAGGAGGAATGTTCAGCTTCTCTAGGTAATTCCAGAGCATAAAACCCAGGATCCAGGGGTTGCAAATTCAAATACACACTTGGCCAGGCAAATAACATGAATGAGTTAAGCAGAGGTTACTGAAAGAGAACACATGTTCTGCCTAAAAAAATGCAACCACTATTCAGATCCAGCCAGCAGAAAACCTGGCTCATTAATGCAAGATTCATGAATTTTCAAAATAAACAAGAAATCTGGTGTGTGTGTGTGTGTGTGTGTGTGTGTGTGTGTGTGTGTGTATGTGTGTGTGTTCAATGTAAAAATTGATTTTGTAAATCTTGTAAACTCACTAAATTTTTTTTCTAAATGCCATGTGGGTCAAACAAGAAACACCAATGAGCTGAACAGAATTTAGGCAGCTACCAATCTATGATCTCTAATCCAAAAGATGTCTAATTTCAGAGAGGTCTGAGCATTAGCGGTTGTTCTAACAACAGTACCACTCCTTGTCTGTGACAAACTACCTCATGTACTTAAAGTTGGAAGGAACCTCAAAACATCGTGTAGTTTTATCGGCCAGGCGCGGTGGCTCACACCTGTAATCCCAGCACTTAGGGAGGCCAAGGTGGGTGGATCACCTGAGATCAGTAGTTCAAAACCAGCCTGGCCAACATAGTGAAACCCCATCTCTACTAAAAATACAAAAAAATTGGCCAGGTGTGGTGGCAGGCATCTGTAATCCCAGCTACTCAGGAGGCTGAGGCAGGAGAATCACTTGAACCCAGAAGGCAGAGGTTGCAGTGAGCCAAGATCGTGCCACTGCATTCCAGCCCAGGCAATAGGAGTGAACCTCTGTCTCAAAAAAAAAGTCATATCGTTTATTGTTATGTCTGTAGGTATATATATATCATTTTAGCAAAATGCAAAAATGCATCAAATGAAAAAGTAGACATCTAGCTAGCTCCAAAAACATGATTAAACTAAAATTATTTCCCTCTGTGACTCTATTAAAATGTTTATTTTTTTCAATGTCATTTACCTCTTCCTTGCCTTTCATATTATTTGCATTTTATCCAGGGGTCCTTGTTTTCCATAGGCCCTGAACAGTCTTAAGAGGGGAAGGAACAAGGATGTAAGAAAGTAAGTTTCACAAAGAAATGGGATGTTGCCTGTTTACTTCAATGCTGTATCCCATTGTCCACAAAATATCTATCAAATCAATGAATAAAGAAGGGACTTGAAAAGTAAGTATTCCAAAAACAAAACAATGAAGGCTATCTTCTTTTAAGAAATTACTATCACATAAATGGTAAACTCACAAAATGGATAAAGTAAGCAATAGTTACATGCTTTACAAGAAGCTCTTCACTTTACTAAGGGACTCACTCTAAGGTTTCGTGAAATAACCAGATACTGTAGTTCAAGAATTTCCTCAACTTCATTTATTCTGGCACATCCTCATAATTCTTGCCAGATTTGTATATGAACTATATAATACCGTATTTAATATTTTCATTTAAATAGACTCATATTCATAGTAATTTCTAAATAGAAGTAAAAAAATAATAATACTATGAAAATTGGCTTTTTAAAAAAATATAAATTGACTTCAAATGCAAAATGGTAAAACCAATGGTACTTATAAATGAGAAGACAATCATAAAAGTAAATATAAACAAAGCTCTATATTACATTCTAGATCGATATTGTTGCTTGCTGAAGGCTCTGAGGCTAAAGCATGCTCTCTGCTTGTAAAAGAAGATATTAACAAGTGGTGGAGAATAACGATGCAGCAGATTTAAATGAAGACTTTCTTGACATAATCACATAAACAGATGGAGCTGAAGAGAGAATCACTGTCTCACAGTGCGGTCCTTATGTCCAGAGCCCCCAAGTTCCACCTAGCTCACCCTGTGTCACTTGTGATCCACATCTCACACTGTGGACACACTTCCCTACTGCAATGGTTTTTAACACTTGGCAGATAAAGCTCCTTTCTCCTCAAATGTATCCTACATGCAACTCCAATATACACAACAAACAAAATGGGAACAGTTCTCTTTGAAGCTGGTATGGAGGACCTAGAGGTCCCCCCTTTGTCATGCTCCAAGGCACTGTGAAACATAATTTGCCAACCCCAACCCAAGAGCATCTAAAATAGCATTCATGTTTTTAATAGTTTCGACACTGCTAGGAGGAATGCAAAATACTACAATTCTGACAAATTGCTAGGAAATTTCTTATAAAGCTAAACATACATTTGGCCTATGACCCAGCAATCTCATTTATAGGGATTTATCTTAAAAAATGATAACTTAACGTTCAAACAAAGATATGTATACAAATGTTTACTAGCAACTTTCTTCATAATCACCAAAAACTGGAAACAACCTAAATGTTCTTCAAAAGGTAAATAGATAAATATGCGGTGATACATTCACACAACAGAATACCACTCAGCAATAAAAAGGGCTGAGCAAGTGATGTGCGCCACCACTCAGAAGCATCTCAAACACATTATGCTCAGTGAACAAAACCACTTATCTGACATTCTGGAACAGGCAATTCTACAGGGACAAACAACGTAACAGTGGTTGCTAGGGATTAGGTTGGGCAAGAGACAGCACGAAGGAATTTTTGAGCATGATGGAACCATTCTGTACCTTGATTGTGGTGGTGGTTACATTAGTTTATACAAACTTTAAAACTCATAGGACACGTGGCTCATGCCTGTATTCCCAGCATTTTGGGAGGTCAAGACAGATAGATCATTTGAGATCAGGAGTTCAAGATCAGCCTGGCCAACACGGCAAACCCTGCTTCTATGAAAAATACAAAAGTTAGCCAGGTGTGGTGGCACGCATCTGTAATCCCAGCTACTCGGGAGGCTGGGGCAGGCGAATTGCTTGAACGCGGGAGGAGGAGGTTGTAGTGAGCCAAGATCATGCCACTGCACTCCAGCCTGGGCAACATCTCAAAAAAAGGCACAAACAAAAAAATAAAAACACAAAAAACCTACAGGACTGTACACCAAAAAAGGCCAATTCCAATTTTATTGTATGTAAATTTTATGAAATTAAAAACTGCATTTGCGTCACATTTTTAAAACAAGTAAGAATACAGAAAACAAGTTTTAAGTAAACACATCTAGTAAATAAGTAGTAAAAATATGGAGAAATATAACTTAACGACAAAAACAAATTTTGTTGCCAAAAAC